GGGCTGCTCCGCCAAGGGGTACTTGACCCAAATGTGGCTGGAAAACTCACAGAGCAAGGAGGGGGTCGCCCAGCGCTCGTCACAGGCCTGGGCGGCCTTCAGGCCTCGCTGCGCTGAGCACACCTCTATCCAAGCACAGAACACGGTTCCCACTCTGCGCGGCCTCCCAGTGCACAGCAACCGCTGCCAGAGGAAGCCCTGACTTGCGGACCTGGAGGGAAAGCAGCACGCCACGCGCCTTGGGGGATCCTTGTGGCCCTGATGCCCTCTGCAAAGCGCTCGTTATTTTGGTTCTGAGTCTTTCTCCCTATCTCAGTCTCCCTGCAACGCGCAGGTGAGCCAACCCAGTCGAATGCGCGCCTCTGTGCGGGTCTTGGTTCCCAGGAACTGAAAACTGTGCACTGCGCCCACTGCCAGCAGCTCCCTGCCAGGTCCAGGCCTCTTCCTCCCCATCACTCACTCCCCTCTGCTCACACCTGCGCTGCCCCTCGGCTCGCCTCGCTTTCCCACCCACCCATCCACTTCCTGCAGTGGCCCTGGCGTCCTCTCTCCTGAGGGCCTTTAGCTGCGTTGTGCTGGCTGCCCTGATTCCTGAAACCAATCAGAATGTTTCCCATTGCTGGTCACTCTGAGCTTGGGGAGGAGCTGGCAGTCACACAGATCTAGTGAAGAAGGGGGCTGAGGACACAGCGTCACGTCTCCACGAGCGAGCGGGCGGCACCAGCCCCAGCAGCCACTGGATTCCTCATTACACACTGTAAAGGCCCTTGGGCTGGGGCTCTGAGCCGCTGGAGAACCTGGCGAGAGCGACGCTGAAGTGCGCTCCGCTCGGAGAGGCCGGGAGGATTTGGAGGGAGAAGGGCAGTGCGTCTCACTGCAATTTCTAAAGTGTGAACGTTCACTTTATATCGCGAGCATGTGTCACAGGGAAGCATTCAATACAGTAACCTACTCTGAGGACCCAAAAAGGCCTCCCGTAGCCTCCTAACTCCTGACCCTGTATTGTTAGTCTTCCCTTCCACATCCATGTACATGTGAACAAAGCCACACTGTCAAGCAGAACTCACGATACCCTTCTTACATCCACAGAAACAAAACCACCAAAAGCCACCCATTGCCACTCTTGTCCTTCACATCTCCGATGGCTGGGAGCAAATTCCTGAGCCAGAAGTGGGGTGCCCCGTGCCCCCCTCTTCCCAGGAAGTATCCTACAATTCTGCTCCCTCCTCTTTTCTCCAGCCCTCCAGCTTTTCTTTTCCTCCACAGCGACCCTAACACCATCTCCCCAAACTGGAAGCTCACAGGCAATGACGTCCTGAGCGCCCCTGTCTGGAGGCCACTATGAGCTGCCAGGCCCGACCCTGTGCTCCCGTGGAAGACGGGCGGGTGGGGACCTGCGCGCTCCTGCTCTCCTCGTGGGCGGCTCTGCACCCACTGCAACTCCCAGCTGACTTCCGGGTCCCGCCAGGATCTCTGGGCCTCTGCTGCCTTGGTCGGGGTTCACCGCGTCCTGCTCTGCGGGCCTCCGCGCTCTGGCTGCCCAGACTGGGTTAGCGTAGCTGCTGCAGCGCTGCGGCCCTGCGTGCCGGAGTGACTGCGCGCGCAGCCCAGGCCACGCGCAGCAGCGTGTACGCGTGAGTATGCGCATTCGCAGACCAACCGCTCTGTTTTTCCTTTGCTTGCACAGCTGATTTTTCTCAACCCAACTTAAAAATTGTATGGTAGAAAAGAAATAGAGTGCTTAAGCAAATTAAGTTCAGGCAGAGGAGAAAAGGCCACTTGTCTCATTCCACAGCTCTTTCATTTCTCTCCAAGCCCACACATTCTCCAAAAATAGTAAGTTCTGCTCACAAGGGCTCTCGTGGAAACGACGGCAGGCACTTCACCGTTCACCGATCCTGCTGTCGCGTGCTAGTGAGACCTGAACAGTCCACAGCTGTTCCCAGCCCTTGCGCGCGCCTTGCTTGTTCTATGAATTACTTCATCATCGGGGCAGACTTGGTGGAAAGTGTACTGATGGTTTGCTCCCTAATGCTACCATTCTTTTTCTGGGTTCCAGGGGTTGAATCCAGGCCTTGGCCTGGAGCTACAAGGCAGGGTCTTGCTAGATTAAATTGCCCAGGCACTGCCACCTCCCTGCTGGGGAGGCTGAGACAGGAGGATCGCTATGAGTCTGAACTGCATAGCGAGACCCTGTATCAAAAAAAAAAAAAAAAAAAAAAGAAGAATGCTCATAATTATACATAACATTAGAACATTCATTGTTTATTAACCCTAAGGCAGGCTCTAGTAACACCATATTCATTTTTACGTGGTTACAATTTAGTATATTGTTACTGCTTTCAGGAAACTATGTAACATTAATATGATTTAGTTCTTAAGCATTTCTTTTTTTCCCCATAATTTTATTGGGAAACAAATAGCAATGAGACAGTTTCAAACCAAATTGGTAGGACAGTTTCAATAATTAACACATTGCATACATTCTTCCTAGTGGTTAATTGCTGTTCAAGATGCGGACTTGTGATCCTATTTACAAACACCATTAGAACAAATCCTTCTATTCGTTAAGAGAATGTAACTATATATCTATCCTAACCACTGTGAATACACAGATACAAAATGGACATTCACCTGTATACCCTTTTATTGTTTAGTTCCGTTATTTGAATATTATAGGTGTGTTAACTCAGCAAAATATTCTAAAAGAGTCCAGTAGTCCATAATTAAGCATTTCATAGATCAGCATAATTATCAAAAGACAGTGAGCATTCGGGCCCTGTTAGGGCTTTATGTGGTCACAAACTGAAATGACTCGCTTAGAACTGAACCCTTACCTGTCCGTTTGTTTCTGTCCACGTAACAATACTTTAGCTCATAGTCCTTTAACAAATCATGGACTTCCTGAAAGAGACAGAACCATGAGTTTAATCAACACACAAAGTCATGGAGTGGATGACAAGGCCCTACATCTTTCTCTAGGACGTTGCCACCAACGTGTCTCACGTCAGAAAAGGGATCTCTCACAGCTCTCTCCTCTATCTATTGTTTTTCTTTTCTTTTAAATCTATTTATTTATTTGGTACAGGGTCTTGCAGCTTGGACCTGTACTGATCCTCCTGTCTCAGCCTCCCCAGCGCTCGGATTATAGGTGTGTGCCACCATGCTCAATTCGGTGGCCAGCTCAGCACTCCAGGGTTCTGGGGCTGGCATGGCATGGCATACCGGGGATTGAACTCAGGTCCTTGTGCTTGCCAGGCAGGTGTGTGGACCACTGAGCTATCTACCCGATCTCTACTGGTTTTCTGAGATAGGGTCTTGCTATGTACTTTAGACTGATCTTGAACTCACTGTGTAGTCCAGGCTGGCTTGGCACTATCCTCTTGCCTCAGCCTCCCTGGTGATGGGACTACAGGCGTGGGCCACCATGCCCAGCTTCCTATTTAAATTAAGGACATTCTAAGCCCAGATAGGGCCTGAGCTGACCTCAGGAAATAGGCTCCCTGTGCATGCCACATTCCTGCCCGCGTTCGCCCCGCACCACTCCTAGTGCGCTGCTCACATTGTTCTAGCGCAGGCAACAGGACCCTGAAGTCCCCAAACTTGGCCTGAAATCATACGCCTGCCCTGAAATCCCAGCTCTAAAGTTCTCTTCTGGAGGTTTCTTCCTGATAATTTCACACAAGTCATGCACCTGCAATGCTGTAGCACCAACGCAGAGACCGTAAGTGCAGCCTGCATCTACTGCAATAAGCAAACTTCAGGTTTTAACTTTGGCATCCTGCTTGGTTGTGCAGCTCAGTTCATTTCCCTTCTGCCTCCGGCCGCGCTGGAGCAGTTG